ACACACACACACACACACACACACACACACACGCACGCACCGCACACACACACACACACACACACGCACACGGCAGTCCATACAGTGATTGCAATGATGACATCGCCACAACAAGCCACCGCGCTCATGGAGACGCCGCGGCTGACGACGGCGCTGCGCACGTTCACGAGCTACAGCGAGGATGAGGAATTCGCGCAAGGTGTTCTCTCGGACCAGGAGCTGGAGGCGCTGATCCAACGAAAGAAGGCCAAGCAGCACGCAGATCTGGATGAGTCCGAGGTGAGCGACGCAGAGGACACAGAGTCAGCTGCAGCGAGTAAGCAGCAGGATAGCAGCGGTGGGCAGGATGTCGTGATGGCAGAGTTTGGCGTCAAGGTGGCCTTTGACAAGGTTCAGTCACAGACGCTGGACGAGCTGCTGCTGGAGGCCCAGCGGTACCGTGCACGCGAGCGCGCTCGCCAGCTGCAAACAGCGCGGCGCGTGCAAGCTGAGGAGCAGGCAAAGGCCACCAAGGTTCTCCTCACGAGCGCACGCAAGCCGGGCCAGCGCAAAGCGAAACAGCCGCAGCAGGCTGCAGCCCCGAAAGCGCCGTCATCATCATCATCGCCGCCATCGTCGTCCGCATCAGCACAACAAGCCGCTGCATCTGGTGGACCAGGTGCGCACCTGCCCCGCAAGTGGCTGCGACAGAAGTGCCGCCAGCATTTTGACACCGCTGCTGCAGACAACATCCGCGCGGCCGTGTTTGATCTTCTTGCCGGCCCAAAGTCCACAGACGAATTGCAGAACGACCTCTTCGACCTCCTGGGCTTTGAGAGGTACGCAACGCGCGCGCTTGCGCGCGTGTGTGTGTGGCGTGTGATTGTCATTGTGTGTGTGCGTGTGTGTCGTTCGTGTGCCTGTGTATGTCGTGTGCCTGTATGTGTCGTTCTTGTGCCTCTGTGTGTGTGCCTGTGTGTGTGCATGACTTGTGAGGGTCACTACAAGTATTCCCTCACCAGCCCAAACAAACCCTCCATTCCCTAACGCGCCCCCACATCTGCTTGGCCTTTGCCTTGGCCCTAGGTTTGAGTTGATCCAGGAGCTGCTGGAGAAGCGTGTGGACATTGTCGCCGCCGAGGAGCGCGCAGTCATGTGCGTATGTGCAACTGCTTGTGTGCAGTGCAACTGCTTGTGTGCAGTGCAACTGCTTGTGTGCTGTGCAACTGCTTGTGTGCTGTGCAAGTGCGGGTGTGTGTGCGGGTGTGTGTGTGTGTGTGTGTGTGTGCGTGCACATGTGGAGGGTTGTACTGTGTCCAATCTTGCTGTTGCGTGTGAGTTCGTGCCGTGACATGTTCGTTGCTGCTGCTGCTGCTGCTGCTATTGAAAACAGGGAGACTGCTGCTAGCGCGTCGTCGTCTTCTCGTAAATCCCGCAACCAGCCGCAGCTGCCAATGCAAGCGGGACCCATCGGCCCGGGCGTGAGTTTTGTGTGTGTGTGTGTGTATGTGTGTGTGTATGTGTGTGGATACATACGTAAGGCTGGCTATGTGTGGCAGGTTGCATCCTAGCGAGCCTCGTTAGGGCGGTAGTGAGTGTTTTGTGAAGGTGTACTGCTGGATCACGCACACAGGCGCACGCACTGACACTTCCCGCATGCGTGTTGCAGGTTGTCATCATGTCTGAAGCAGAGAAGAAGCTCATGAAAAAGCACAGGCGCGAGGAGCGAAAGTGAGTTTTGATTGCCGTGTATAACGGCCCTCTTTCGTTCCAAACCACCATGCCACCCATGCGTGTTGTCCGTTCTCATTCCTTACACACACACACACACACACACACACACACACACACACACACACACACACACACACACACACACACACAAACCACCGCATCCCGTGCAGGCAAGCGCGTGCCGTGGCCAAGGCGAAGAAGCAGCTTGAAGAGGAAGGCGGCGACGCATCGGACATCAAGTCCATCCTCGGTTTCGATCCAGAAGGTAAGATGACATGATGACGACCACATGCCGACACAATTGCCCTTACTCACTCTCTGGTCGTGTCGCTGCATGTCGTGTCGTTGCAATGACGCCTTCTTGCTTTCTTTCGCTCTGGACACTTTCACTCGCACCCTTCGCCATCCTCACCACCACCACCACCACCACCACCACCACCACCACCACCACCTGTAACACCACCACCACCACCACCACCACCACCACCACCACCACCTGTAACACCACCAGCTGCGCGGTTGGCGCGTGAACGACAGCTCGCCCGCGCCGCTGCCCGGAGCGTCTTTGCATCGCCGTCCACAGCGCAGCGGTGAGGCGCGTCAAGCGGAACGTCTAAGGACAAAGAGTTCAAATGGGGTTGAACACACCTGCGAAGCCTGTGTACATCTAGTTACATTAGCCTCGCATTTCTCACACCATGCCCACACCCACCACTCATTCGCATTCACAAAACATACATACCATATTTGTTGCAGTGTGGAGGATCGGCCCAAGTATCCGTTTGTGTTTGATTCCGCACTTGAAAACCGCTTGAAGGGCGCGTATGTGTACGGTGCAAAGGTGAGTGCAGGTCTCGCACGCCTGTTGCGTGCATTGTAACTGGCGTGGAGGCCCTTTTAATGCTCAGCATTCCACCATCCTTCTCCACTTTACTCTTCCGTTTCAACTCACCGGCACACACACACACTCTCTCTCTCATTCATTCACACACGCACACACACAAACTCACACACACTCACTCACACACACACACACACTCACTCACTCACTCACGTACACACGTACACACGTGCACGTGTGGTGGCAGGTGATGCTGCCTGCTGATGCGACGCGCACCGACAGCAAAACGCACGAGTCCATTGTCATTCCACCGGTTCAGCGTCGCGCGCCCATGACGGGGGAGCGACGGGTGGCCGTCCACGACCTCAACTACGTTGGGCAGCTCGCCTTCCAGGGATACGAGAGCCTCAACCGCATCCAGAGCATTGTCTTTGACACCGCTTACACGACAAACCACAACCTCCTCATCTGTGCCCCAACTGGTGCCGGAAAGACAAACATCGCCATGCTCACCGTCCTTCGCTGCATCGAGCAGGTGCATCCGTCGTACATCGTGTTCTATTGTGTTCTATTGTTGAATTGCATTGGTGTGCACATGCATGCGTTGTGTGGCCTCGTATGTGCATTGTGTTTGTGCACCAGCCACCACATGCACGTGCCCCGACTGTTCATGGCCATCTCTTCTCCCCATTATTCACGCACACATGCACACTCACGCACGCACACACACACACACACACTCACGCACGCGCGCACGCACGCACATGCACGCACAGCACATTGAGCAAGGCGTTGTACAGAAGGACAAGTTCAAGATTGTGTACATTGCTCCAATGAAGGCCCTTGCAGCAGAAATGACAGAAACATTCGGACGGAGGTGTGTGTGTGTGTGTGCATGTGTGTGTGTGTGTGTGTATGTGTGTGATCCTCCTTGGTTTGCTTGTATGGGTGTAAATTTGCCACACAGAGTGGTCTTCCAACAACACATGGCAGGCATTGTGATCCTCATACATCCCGTCATCTCTCCCTCCCCCCCCCAAAACCACACACACACACACACACACACACACACACACACACACACACACACACACACACACACACACACACACCCCTACCTCAATGGGACAGGCTGGCGCCGCTCAACCTGGCAGTGCGGGAGCTGACGGGTGACATGCAGCTGACCAAGGCCGAGATCATCCGCACGAACATGCTCGTGACAACGCCAGAGAAGTGGGATGTGGTGACGCGCAAAGGGATGGGCGATGTTGCGCTGACGCAGCTGGTCAAGCTGCTGATCATTGACGAGGTGCATCTCCTCCACGACGAGCGCGGTGCTGTGATCGAGTCACTCGTGGCCCGCACCCTTCGCCAGGTCGAGAGCTCCCAGTCCATGATCCGTATTGTTGGCCTGTCCGCCACCCTCCCAAACTACGTGGACGTCGCCAACTTTCTCCGCGTGAACCCGCACAAGGGCCTGTTCCACTTTGACGGCGGGTTCCGGCCCGTGCCGCTGCAGCAGTCGTTTGTCGGCGTCAAGGGCAAGAACAGGTTTGCCGTCAACGATGAGATGGACAAGCTGTGCTTCGACGTGGTGCTGGAGAACGTCCTGCGCGGGGAGCAGGTGATGGTGTTTGTGCACTCGCGCAACGGCACGCTCAACACCGCCGCGCGCCTCATTGACCTCGCCACCAAGGAGAACCAGATGGCCGCATTCGACTGCTCCGACAGCAAGGAGTTTCCTCTCGCCCAGAAGGCCTTTGCCCGCTGCAAACACAAGCAGCTCAAGTCCTTCCTCGGAAACGGATTCGCGGTCCACCACGCCGGCCTGCTTCGCTCCGATCGAAACGTCGTTGAGAAGTACTTTGCAAAGAAGCTCATCAAGGTGCTTGTGTGCACGGCCACGCTTGCCTGGGGTGTGAACCTTCCAGCACACGCTGTCGTCATCAAAGGCACGGAGCTCTATGATGCGACGCGCGGTCAAATCGTCGATTTGGGCATTCTTGACGTGCAACAGGTGCGGGCGTGTACTTGTGTGTGTTTGCGTGTGTTTGCGTGTGTGTGTTTGCGTGTGTTTGCGCGCGTGTGTGTGTGTGTGTGTGTGCGTGTGTTTGCATGTGTGCGTGTGTGTGTGCGTGCGTGCGCGCACATGTGTGTGTTGCGGCCACATGTTCTCACACACATAATCATGGCGATACACTCAAATGCACTCACCATTCCACACACAACACAATACATGCTACATACCCACCACAACACACCACAACACACCGCTGTGTGCTTTTGTTGTGTTGTGTTTCAGATCTTTGGCCGAGCGGGGCGACCGCAGTTTGACACGTTTGGGGAGGCGACACTGATGACAACGCACGACAAGCTGAGCCACTACATCACGCGCATCATGAACCAGCGGCCCATCGAGTCAAACTTCCTCTCCCGGCTGCCAGACAACCTCAACGCCGAGGTGGCGCTGGGCACGGTGACAGACGTCAGGGAGGCGGTGGCCTGGCTAAGCTACACGTACCTGTACGTGCGCATGCTGAAGAACCCCCATGTGTACGGGCTGACACCAAAGGAGGCGAATGAGGACGTGATGCTGGAGCGCCACCGCGAGAAGATGATCATTGAAGCGGCACGACAGCTCGACGACCGGCGCATGCTGCGGTTCCAGGAGACGGCCGGGTACCTCAGCAGCACCGATGTGGGCAGGATTGCCAGCCACTTTTACATCAGCGCAGAGACAATTGAGATGTACAACACGGCGTTTAAGCCGCACATGGCCGAAGCAGAACTCATTACTATGGTCGCAAAGTCGTCAGAGTTTACCCAAATCAAGGTGCACAGCGTGCATGTGGATGAGAGAGCAGGAAGGGGTGCTGTTGTAGTTGTTGCGTGGTGTGTGTGTGTGTGTGTGTGTGTGTGTGTGTGTGTGTGTGTGTGTGTGTGTGTGTGTGTGTGCGTCGCTGACATCCTAACTTCTACGTCAATTACACAATTCCCCAACTGGTTGACTGCAGGTGCGAGACGAAGAGCTTGACGAGCTCGATTACCTCAAGCGCGAGTACTGTGTCCTCCACCCCGTCCTCGGCGGATCAGAGAACACGTACGGCAAGGTCAACATCCTCCTGCAGGCCTACATCTCGGTCAGTTGCAGCCCATGCTGCTGCTCGCGTGCTGCGCTGTGCACACATGCGTCGTTACGTGCTTGTTCTGCGCGTGGATGTGCGTGCGTCAGGCTGTCGTCAACCACGTCAGCACTCACCCCAATCCTCCATCCATCCACCCTTCGGTCCCTCCCTTCCATCCTGACTTCCTTCAATTCATGCATTCTTGGTTTTATGTTCCCACCATGCAGCAAGCGCCCCTGCGCTCGTTCTCGCTCACCTCCGACATGAATTACGTAGCAAAGAACGCCGGCCGTCTGCTGCGTGGTCTCTTTGAGATTGCGCTGCGCCGCAGCCTGGCAACACTTGTGCCCAAGCTGCTCACGCTCTGCCTGTGCGTGGACCGCCGCCTGTGGTGGCACATCAACACGCCCCTGCGGCAGCTCGGCAACTTCCTGCCCAACGAGATGTACAATAAGATTGAGGGGCGTGGCATGGATCTGTTTGAGATTCTCGACATGCCCGAAGACGAACTCGGTCACTGGCTGCGGCACGTGCGCATGGGAGACAAGGTGCACCCCGAAACACCCACCCTGTCTGCGTATGTGTGTATGTGTGTGTATGTGTGTTTATGCGTGTATCTGTGTGTAGTGTGTTTGTGTGTATGTGTGTGCTCTCGCCCGCTGTTAAGTACGATCCTTGCTCTGTGAATCGCCCTTCCCCCCTTAACAGCATACACACACGCACGCCAACTGGTTGTCGTTGCATGACCTGCAGGTGAAGCAAGCTGCGCAATTGATACCGATGATTGAGATGGATGCTGTCATCCGTCCGGTCACACGGACGGTCCTGAAGGTCATTCTCACCATCGAGCCCGCTTTCAACTGGCGCACCCGCTTCCACGGCAAATCCCAGTCGTGGTGGATCATCGTCGAGGACCGTGAGTTGTTTCTTGTCTTGTATTGTGTTGTGTTGTGTTGTGTTGTTGTGTTGTGTTTGTTCCCTGAAAAATCTGACTTGTCAATGCCCTCATGCCTGTACAATCACCACAATTCACGATCACACCCCAACCACGAAATGACATCACTTGACACACTGCAACACTTGCTACAGCGGACACGGAGCACCTGTACCACACGGAGCTGTTTTCCCTCCAGGCAGACAAGTGTCTTGCACGCAACGAATCCGACCGCCTGCAAACGCTGGAGTTCACCATCCCCATCTTCGAGCCGCTGCCGACGCAGTACTTTGTGCGCGCCATGTCCAACCACTGGCTCGGCTCCGAGACGGTGATCCCGCTCTCCTTCCGCGACCTCATTCTCCCGCAGTTGCACCCGCCGCACACGCCCCTGCTCGACCTGCAGCCGCTGCCAACAGCAGCACTACACGACAAGAAGCTTGAGGCGCTCTACCCGTACACGCACTTCAACCCCGTGCAGACGCAGGTGTTCCACACGCTGTACCACACGGACCACAACGCCCTGGTCGGCGCGCCCACTGGCTCCGGCAAGACGGTTGCCGGCGAGCTGGCCATCTACCGCGTAATGCGCGAATACCCGGGGAAGAAGGCTGTGTACATCGCCCCTCTCAAGGTGCGGTGCGGAGTGTGCATGTGTGCATTTCATTGGGTTTCGGTTCATCGTTTGTTGAGTGTTGAGTCGCTCGCAGGGCGTGTGTGTGTGTGTGTGTGTGTGTGTGTGTGTGTGTGTGTGTGTGTGTGTGTGTGTGTGTGTGTGTGTGTGTGTGTGTGTGTGTGTGTGTGTGTGTGTGTGTGTGCTTGCCTGCGTTCACTCTCGCGCGTGCGCCTGTCTTTACGGTGCTACCTCGTGTCTTGGACGATCACACTCTTCACACATACGTACGGCACCGCCAACACCACGCATCGCCATTCCATCTCTCATTCGCGCTCCCTCCCCCCCTCTCTCTCTCTCTGTCTGTCTGTCTCTCTCTCTCTCTGTCTGTCTCTCTGTCTGTCTGTCTGTCTCTCTCTCTCTCTCTCTCGCTCTCTCTCTCTCTCGCTCTCTCTCTCTCTCTCTCTCTCTCTCTCTCTCTCTCTCTCTCTCTCTCTCTCTCTCTCTCTCTCTGTCGTCAAAGGCGCTTGTTCGCGAGCGCATTGAGGATTGGAAGGTCCGGTTTGGGGAGAAGCTTGGCAAGAAGGTGGTTGAGTTGACTGGCGACGTGACGCCGGATGCTCGCGCCATCGAGCGTGCAGATGTCATTGTCACCACACCTGAGAAGTGGGATGGCATTTCCCGCTCGTGGCAGAGCAGAAACTACGTTCGCAAGGTTTGTATGCATGCAAGTAATGCGCACATGTGTGCGTGTGTGCATGTGTGCTGTTTGTAACACCCTGAAAACGAGAGACAGAGAGTGCGTGTGTGTGTGTGTGCGTGTGTGTGTGTGTGCGTGTGCGTGTGTGCTCGTGCGGTTGTTCCTTGTCTTCCAGGCTGTATGTCGAGTTCACGCGTTTGCTGACTTCGATTTCCATTTCGCCATGCTCTGCTCACGCCCCACCCCCCCCCCCCGGGTGCCAGGTTGTGCTGCTGGTGATTGATGAGATCCACCTCCTTGGTGGCGACCGTGGTCCCGTGCTGGAAGTGATTGTGTCGCGTACAAACTACATTTCGGCGCACACCGCACACAAAGTGCGTGTTGTGGGCCTGTCCACTGCACTCGCCAACGCGCACGACCTGGCCAACTGGCTCGGCATCACGCGCGCCGGCCTGTTCAACTTCAAGCCAAGCGTGCGCCCCGTGCCGCTCACCAAGCACATCCAGGGCTTCCCCGGCAAGCACTACTGCCCGCGTATGGCGAGCATGAACAAGCCCGCATACTCTGCCATCCGCACGCACTCGCCCACGAAGCCAGCGCTCATCTTCGTGTCGAGTCGCCGGCAGACGCGTCTCACCGCCCTCGACCTCATCTCCTGCTGCGTCTCCGACGACCAGCCGAAGCAGTGGCTGCACATGAGCGAGGTTGAGATGGAATCCCTCCTCACCACCATCCGCGATGCGAACCTGCGGCACGCGCTCAGCTTTGGCATCGGCATGCACCACGCTGGTCTGCACGAGCGCGATCGCAAGGTGGGGAACGCCGTGTCGGGAAATCGTGAAGAAGACGGGAGGAGGAGGAGGAGGAGGAGGAGAGAGAGAGAGAGTGTGTGTGTGTGTGCGTGTGTGCGTGTGCCTGTGCCTGTGCGTGTGCGTGTGCGTGCATGTGTGTGCGTGTGCGTGTGCGTTTGCGTGTATGTGTGTATGTGTGCTGTCAGGTGTATGCGCGCCTCCATGCCTTGTGTGTTCTTTTGTTTTCTTGCCTGCTTGATTCCGTGTTCGTACCGTGTTTTTTGGCGATCGTAAGTCACCTCACAGCTTGTCACTTTGCTGCATCTTGCAGGTGGTTGAGGAGCTGTTCTTGAATCAGAAGATCCAGGTCCTTGTCGCCACCGCAACGCTGGCGTGGGGTGTCAACTTGCCTGCCCATCTCGGTACGTTGTGCGCACGTTTCTTGTATTGCTTGTCCAGGTCTCGGTTGCTTCTCAACTTGTCTGCAACGTTTATATTTTGAAGCTAACTCACGTCACGCACACACGCACACACGCACACGTACATGTGCACACATACATGCACACACACGCACACGCACATTCACACACACGCACACGCACATTCACACACACGCACATTCACACACACGCACATGCACACACCACCAGTGATTGTGAAAGGAACGGAGTTCTTCGACGGAAAGACGAAGCGCTACGTCGACTTTGACATCACAGATGTGCTGCAGATGACGGGACGCGCCGGCCGCCCGCAGTTTGACGATCACGGTGTTGCTGTCATC